ATATCGAGCAGCGACTCGTCGCGCGCGAGGACGACGAGGATGTCGGGATCAGCGTCGAATGCGCCTACGAGCGTGATGGAGGCACGCGCGGTTGGAGCATCCTCGTAGTATCCGCCTTCGGCGACATCGGAGAGGGTGTCGTGCGCGCGGCGAGGTCGACGGGGTTGTTGATGATGGTGTTGATGTCAGTGTCTCTGTCAATGGATGCTGATGGCAAAGAAAACTCGCGGAGAGGATGGGCAGTAATCGCAGGTCGGTGTTGGAAGAAGGGCTAACTCGCAGCTGCCTTCGGCGTCGAGAACATAATCGGCTGCCCGACCGCCGACCACCCAATAACCCAACACCCAGAATACATGTCAATGCACAAACGCACATCGCGGACGGCGTCCCACATACGCATGAACGACCTCCTGGGAGGCCTAAGCTCTGCAGGCAACAGCGAGCGAGAGTCGCTAAGGTCAAAATCCCCCCGCCCCGACACTCAGCGCCACGTCAAAGCTCCAGTTCGCGACGAGAGGGGAAGCAACTGAGGGAGCCCATGCCCGAGTATCCCATATCGGCGGTGGTAAAAGCGCTAAGACGCAGCTGCCTTCGGTGTCGAGGACAAAATCGCCTCCCCCGCCGCCCACCAAACAATCAAAAAAGTGCAAATTCGCACTAACGCACGAGCGCACGTCGCGGACGACGCCCCCGGGTACGCATGAACGATGTGATAGAGGGGCTGAGAGCCTGGGCAGAAGGTGGTCGAGTATGATCGAGGTCAAGTTTCGCGCGCGCGCGACGCCGAGAGGCCAGGTGCCATTCAAGCGGCGAGAAACGCGGGATAGGGATGCGGAGGAAGGTGGCGGAGGTGGCGATAAGAGCGCTGACCTGGACAAGAGCGCTGACCCGGACAAGAGATATAGGTGGAGAACGACATCCGCCGATTCTGCCTCCCCGACTCGGCGATCCGATAATAAAAAAAATATGAACGTGGCGCCGACGCGCGAAGCACACAAACACATCGCCATCCACCGGACTCCCCGCGCATCGAGCGCCAAACCCAGCGGTGGGCCCACCCAATGAACGAATCGATTCGGCAGTACCCGCGTGCACCTGGCCGTTCGTCGGCGCGACGAGGTACGCAGAGGAGGGCGGGGTAGCGCGCGAGGAGCGTGCGCGGCGGGGCAGGGGAGGCGGTGTGCAGGGCGAAGGTCGGTGGGAGGAAGGAGGTGGAGAGGGTGCTGGTGGAGGGCACGCCGACGCCGAAGGGATATACACAGGACGCCGAGGAGGAGGCATGTGCGGGAGGGACGACAGGCTGGAGTAACGTCGGGTGCGCAGCCGGCGGCGCGGGCAAGACGAAGGGTGGGTGGCCGTGCCCCAAAGACGCCGTTTCTGCTGGTGCGGGCGACAGCGCTGACACGGCTCGCTACGTTGCTGCGTACGCGCGCAATTTGCGCTGCGTGTTGGCGTGCGGGACGATGTCGTCCTCGATGAGCACGTACTGCATACGCTCATCCTCCGCGAGCTGCTCCTCCGCCGCGGTGCCACTGTTGGTGCCGTTCGCGGTGGCATTAGAGGCGCCGACTGCGGGGTCCACGGTGCCGGCGCGGCGAGCTGAGATGCTGGCGCGCCGGCGGCGATTATTGGTTGGCGGTGCGTTGGGGAGCGAAGGAAAGTCTGGAGACAAGTCAGTAAAGTGTTAGCGATGTAAATGATTTTCGAAAGAAGACAATGCCGAGACGATAAAGCAGGATGAAAACAAAAGAAAGATGAATGAAAAGGCGCAGAAGGGCCCGAGGCCACGAATTGCGAAAGCATGCATGGAGCATCGGCCACGAAAGTGATATGCCAAGGAGGGTCAATAGCAGATGATGTGCGTCGAAAGGAAAGCAAGGACGAAGGACAAAGAGCATGGATTGACACAAGCGGTCGTGTCATGGATGACGTCGCCGAAACCGACGAGCAACGAGCAAACGCGCCAGTGCCAGCGTGGGTCAGGCGAAATACGTCGAAGCGTGGAGGAGGTAACGTGGTCGTCAACAACCTGACTGCCCTGTCTGAAGAGGAAGACAGTACGGCGCCCGCCGATAAGGACATCCCGAAGGAAGTCCAGACCGCGCACGACGCTGAAGCCGGGGAGGGTCGAAACGACGCCCACCATCTCCCTCCACCAACCAAACGAAAGCAGGGGAATAAGAAAGAGAGGAAATGGACGCACCTCCTGGCGCACGCACCCAGCACCTCCATTCCTCCGGTAAACTGCCCTCCGCAATCCCAAAGCACGTAGCATGGCACCACCGCCCACACACGTCGCACGCAATACTAAACCCATCGTCCACTGACGACCCGCACCGACACCGAATCTCGTCCGCCGCGTCGGCGTCGGCGTTGGCGCTCCCGCCATTCGCCGCACCGCGCGCGAATGCGGCTTCCCCCCCCCCTCCCGGCGTCTCCCTTCGCGCCTTATTGCTCCCGCCGCCATGCCCGTGCCCGTGCCCCCGTCCCTGCCCCTGCGGATGCCCATGCCCGATCCCAAACCCCAGCTTGCGCTTCTGCGGCACCGTCGACTCGCTCGCGCCTGGCATTGCGAAGCCATTCGTGTTCCCTATCACCACGCGGCCGCCCTTCGTGCGCATGCAGCGTTTGCCTCTGCTGCTTCTCCGTCCGCGTGCTCCCCAGCAGACTCCTCCTCTGCGGCGCCGGGGGGCCAGTCCCCGTCCCCATCTCTGATGCGAGTCCTTGTCGTTGGTGTTGTTGTCCATGAGTGGCGGGCTGCATATCCCATCGGAGGGCGGCGGCGTGTGGACTGCGGTGTCATCGAGGCGAGGCGGTGTAGTCGTAGTTGGAGTATAGCTACAAGGAGGAAGGAAGAAGGAGGAGGATAAATATATACGCCGTCAATGAGCGAAGAAAGACGCGCCGGTGAATAGTCGCTCGTCGGAATTGGTATCCCCTACGTCCGGAGTCAGGGCAGAGGAATGCTGCAGTCGCCAAGCGTGCGTTCCGTCGATATCCAGGAGAATTGGAACCCGAGATAACGGAAAGGGGGAGTACACTGAGTAGACAAGAAAGCGGAGCGCAAAGAGAGAAAGAATTCAGTGTAAGTCAGCAAAGCGATCCGAGCGCTAACGGGGCAGCGCACCTGCCAGTGTATGCCCGTGAAGGTCATATTCGACAGTAAACCGCCCAATAAGCCTCGCTGAAAACACCGAATTCCCGAGCCCACACACCACGATATCCCACCCCGATTTTCGCAGCCCAAAGAAGCAGGGATGACCCAAGAAGCTCGGAGGCCAATGCGGAGTCCTATATAAGCGTATTTGCGGCGAATTTGGGGGAGAGGAGTGGACGAGGAGGTGGGCGGGTGAGGGTAGGAGAGAAAGATACCGTGTGGCGGTGCTGCCGTGCTTTGCTAGGACTGGCGGGCCAAAGCCCGGGGATGTCCGAGCCGGGTTGCCATTTACCACCAACCGACAAGTTGTACTCCTCGCGTCACCCTCCTTGATATCACACTCTTCTTAAACGGCACAATGGCAACACGTCCATCAACAAGGACGTTTTTTGTTCCCTGAAAAGTCTCTACTGAACCAATCTAAAGACACAACAAACTTCTGGGCAAAATAGAGGCAAAATCAACGCGAAATTCATGCAACTGCCAACTGGCGATGCTACCTGGGGATTCCTCTCTGCCGTTCTCACTCTGGTAAAACACAAGGAAACTCCCTACCTGAAACTCTTTCAAAGCGTTCAAATGACGCAAAAATTTCGCCATTTTCCAATTATTCCGCCCGGTTGCCGCGCGTTCTCTCGAGCTCAGATCTCATGGCTTTAGTTAACTCGACTACAACTCCTGCGCTCGGTGACTGCCCGGCTTAGGCTATAACGCTGCTCGTTCTGTGCTACATTCTAGACAATTTTGGCTCGGGTTAACTGGGAAAAACCTCTGGGGAAATCAAGGGAAAATCGATTCGAAAAATTCAAGGTGCAGCGCTACTAGTACTTGTTTGTCTGGCGCGCGCCGCGACGAGACCTCTTGCGATTGAAACAAACGCAAATGAGGGTTAAAATTCCTCCCCTGGCGCCAAAAAAAAAAAACAGACAATGTTGCGGAGTTTCCGCCCTCCAGCGTTGCCGCGTGTTCTCCTATAATACGGCTGTGGCCTTCTTCCCACTTTCTTTCTCTGCGCAAACGAGACCGAAGCTTTGGGAGTCAAAACGACCAAAAATTTTGCCCTTGAAGACGATACTTATGTCTCCGGAGGGAATCGGACCCACCTGCCGTCCATTCCAACGATGCCAACTTCGATCTCAGGCAAACCTCTGGACCTCGGAGATTTGTTTTCGTACACTGTTAGTCGGTTCTTTTAGCGTTCAGGAAATTCCAACCTGCCGGGCCTCCACCTTTGGCATAGTCCGATTAACGGATTATTCAATTCCAACTTGAATCTCCCGGAACGGAAAATACTATACTTCCTCACTCTTCCACGCACGATGGGCAAAAAATCAATGTGCTGCGCGTACACGTCCTGGGAGGGAATCGAACCCCCACCTTCCCCGACATTCACTCTCGTCTAAGTGAACGGGATGATCGCCGTTAATCCTTTTTCGGATTTCGTTTAGGCCATCGCACTGCATCCTTCTGTGGCGTAGTCCGATTATTCAATTCCAAGTTGAATCTCTCGCGGCAAAAAAATATTATACTTGCTGGTTCTTCCACACACAAGACAGGCAAAAAATCCCTTCGGAACTGTAACCGTCCACGTCCCCGGAGGGAGTCGAACCCTCGTCTTCCCGCGTCAAACTCTGTACAATGAGAGCACGAAAGCGAACGGGACGATCGCCTTGATCCTCGAAGAGATTCAAGTTGAACGAAATATTCACGAAACAATCTTCTCGAAAATTGGAACCCACCGCGCCTCGCGTCCCGGCTCTTAGGGTTCTCGTGGCCTTTTCTGACTGGTAAAGTCTCCCTTCGTTATCGAACTCCCGAGGAAAAATGAAGTGGCACGGGCGCACGCCTCCAGAGGGACTCGAACCCTCGCCTTCCCGCGTCGAACTTTTATAACATTGGATCCACAGGTGAACGAGACGATCACCATTGATCCTCGAAGACTGGTTCTTGTATCTCTATTTCGGCCATCGCGCCCAAGCTGAACGCAATATTTATGTGCTCTGCGCAAACGAGACCGAAGTGCTGGAACTCAAAGAACCAAAAAGTATCGCACTTGACGCGTACGTCTCCGGAGGGAATCGAACCCCCCACCTGGCGTTAATTCTAACGACGCCAAGAATCGCGAATAAACGAGAAGATCGCTCAAAGACTGTTTCTTGTACCTCTTTCGGCCGGTTCTTATGGAGCGCTCTCCGCATTCTGAAACTCGTAATTCTCAGATTTTGTTAGTCCAAGCCATCCACCGCAATTCTTCTTTGGCCTAGTCTGCCTCACCTGCAGTCTCCCGCGGCAAAGATATACATACTTCTTGGTTGTTCCACGCACAATGGGCAAAAAAAAAACCATGTTCCCGTCGTACACGTACGTCGGAGGGAATCGGACCCTCACCCCCGCGATAAACTCCTTTAGTCGTGCGCACCAAAGCGAACGGGATAATCGCCTTAATCCTCGAAGACTGGTTCTCGTACAAATCAGTTGGCGTTCTCCTAGAGGTATTTCGGCAATCCGCCCATCCCGCTCAAAATATTGGCGCAACAATCTTCCCGACAATTCAGGCCCGCCGCGCCTTGCGTAGTCTGGTTCGACTCCAGTCTCCCGCGGCCAAAGAAATACTATACTCCCCGGTTCTTCCACGCACAATGGGCAAAAAAAGAAAAACAAAACATGTTTCCGTCGCACACGTCCTGGGAGGGACTCGAACCCTCGCCTTCCCGCGTCCAAACCCCTGCGCATGAAGGTGAACGGGATGATCACCTTGATCCTCAAAGACTTCTACTTTTTTGACCGTGCTCTCACAGAGGTATTTCGCGGTATAGCACCCATTCAAGATTCAAGCGTCAAGCTGAATGAAACATTCACGCGCGAAGCTGTCTCCTTTCGTCGAAAACATAAGGCACAACGCCTCGCGTCCTGGCCCTTAGGATTCTCGTGTGGCCTTCCCACTTTCTTGCTCTGCTCGAACGATACTCAACCTCTGGAACCAAAACGACCAAAAAATTCTCCGGGTCGTACATACGTCTCCGGGGGGATCGAACCGCCCATCTCCCAGAAATGTGGAGACCTCACGCAACGAGATAATGGCCGCTGAACCTGAAAAGACCTGTTCTCGTACTCTTTCGGCCGGTTCTTATGCAGAGTCTTCAGCATAGGACAATTCTCGGATTTCTTCTCACTCTTTCACGCACAAGACGGGCGAAAAAATTGTGTTCCAATCATACACATCCTCGGAGGGAATCGAACCCTCACCTTCCCGCGTCAAGACTCAATTAAGATCACCATTGATCGTCGAAGACTGGTTCTTGTACTTCTTTGGCTACTGTTCTGCTAGAGAAACCTCGGCGGCATGCATGTAAAATCATCGCCGCACCACATTACCACAAAATCACGCAAGAATCTGTCCCCTTTCATCGCACCTGGATTCTTACGGTGCTCTCGTACGGCTTTCCCTGATCATGACTGGTAGGATCCCTTCATTACCGACCCCTCGAGGAAAAACCCGTTGCCACCCCTGCACGTCTCCGGAGGGATTCGAACCCGCACCTTCCCGCATTACAAGTGAACGGGTCGATCGCCAGTGATCCTCGAAGACTTGTTCTGTAGGCTCTTTCGGCCGTCAAAATTCATTGGAAAGCTTCGAGCAGTACCCATTCAATCCTATCGAACGCAATATAACTCGAAAACTCAAGACCCAACGCCGCAGAATTCTTCCCGTTTCTCGTGGGGCTGACCCTGCGTAGTGGAACTCGACCTCCCGGACTTCGAAAGAAGAAACCACGCGATCTCAAGTAGCAAGCCCGGAATGTTGAGGGCAAGACGCTCATGTTTGCAGGGAACGGAGGAAAGGACGCGGGACCGGAAGCAAAGGAAGGGGTTGGATTTAAGGCGAAAGATAAGTATACGCAACGGAATCACGAATTAAATTTCCTTCGTTCCTCCCATTACCGACCCTCGTACCCACCCTGCGTCCCTCAGCGCAGAACGGCCGCTCCTCGATGCCCATTCGCGTCCCCCCCTCGGCGCTGTCCCACCAAATCCGCCGCGGCGTACGTACGTCCCGAGTCCTCCGCCGGCCGAGCACCTGCGAATACAACCTCTCGATTCACAGTCTCAGGGAAAGTGGAAGGAGGAAACGCACCCACCCACCGACAGACACGCCGGCGACGAGCAGGAAAGTCGAAAGTAGACGTCCTCCACTCCATCGAGGGCCTGGAAAAGCAAACTCCGTCGAGGTAAAAACGATCCTGCACGGCAGGACATAATATCGCAAAAGATAGTTCCCTCTGCCCTGCGCGCGTCAGGCAAAAAAAAGGCGTAGCACCGCGCGCGGGTGAGATGGGATGTGTCTTCCGCGTTGTTGCGCCCCCCATGCGCGGCGGCATGTCTGGTGCTGTGGAGGCGGAGGATGGCTTATCGTGGGTGGCGCGTGTGGACAAAAATCGCCAGCGGGAGCCCTACGGGATGGATTACACGTTAGCCTCGGATCGACGCAGGGGGATGAACGGAGCAAAGGGGAAACGTACGTACCTCTGCCGCCAAGCTCAGCGTTCTCCGCGTCCGACGCCCGACGCGAGCACCCGGCACTCAGCGCGAGCGAAGCAAGAGATGGCGCGTGTCCGCGTTCTCCTTGTGCCACTGCCTCTACCCATTTTGCGGCGGTTCGGTGGCGCGTATTTCATCCCAAACTCTTTCCCCGCCTTTCTCGTGACCCACTCCGGTTTTCTCCCTTGCAATCCCACCCGCGAACAACGAGATTCAAAAGCGGTTTGAGCTTGGACGAGCTAACCCTACGATTCCCCGCGCAACGAGGATGAGACGGAGGACGCGGACAGTGAGGTCTCTGGGCGGGGGCGCGCGCGGCGACGAGGCGCGGATGGTTTGGGTGGTTCGTGCGGGGAAGCGAGGTGGGGTGCGCTTGCGGGACGTGGGATCGCGTAAGAGAGGCGCGTGGACGTAGACGCGAGAGCGGAGTAGAATCTAGAGGGCCGGCAGCGTCAGTACGTGGTGGAACGTGGAGGGGAAAGGGAGAGGGCCACGGGGAGGAGAAGGCAAGTGGGCGTGCGTGAGACATCCGCAAGCGCACAGGGCGATTGCGTGAATCGCAGGGGCGCGTCGCTACGCAGGCATATCGCAGGCGGAGTGGACGGGTGGGGCTGCAGAGAGGGAGGGTGTGGGTTTATATCAGACTGTGGTCGGTGGGCAGGACAGAATAACCTTTGTTGTCCCGTCGAAGGTCGTGTCGTTAAGAGAAAACCAGGAACGTGGTGAATCGCTTCCGTGAGGGCGTGATCGTCACGATGTGACTTCGAGTCGTCTTTGTCTGAAGCCATCCGGCCACAGATACTTACATCCAGCCAGGCCAGTGCCCGTTCGTCGGGGATCACGAGCACATGTCGGGAATATTCAAATCGAGATCGACATCCATGAGAAACTTGCGGGCCAAAAACAAAGCCGACAGGTGAGTTTTGTGTACGTCGCATCGGTAGGTAGGGTAGGATTACACGACGCGGTCCTTTAACTGACCCTCTCAACTCCGTGTTTCACTGCACTTTGGTTTCACTCTGAAACTTGAGGCCTTGCCGAGTCACCGCTAAATTCCTTTGCAGTGATCCCGTCCCCCCAGTCCCGTCAATGGCGCGCGAGAAAGGCTCTCAACCACCCACCGAAGAAAAACAAGAAGAACCCATCCCTTCCCACCACTTGATGGAGCGGGACGGGGCCCAAACACCCACCCAACAAAATCAATATCTGGAGCTCTTCACCTTGCCAACGGACGCGATGCTGAAGGCCTGCATGCAGTCGGTTGCACAGGCCAACAAGTCGGTTGCACAGGCCAACAAGTAAGCTGTATATATATATAAACTACCCACGGAGGCTTGCCTCACCTTTATCATTTGAAAGTGAAATCCGTGCTCTTCGACGGGAGCTGCAATCTCTCCAGGGAGCCCTCACCGAGATTCAAAAGGAATGTTGAATTCCAATCAACCTAATTCTATATACTTACCATGTCCGTAGGCAATGGCAAAGGTGTAACAGCCGATGTTATAGTGTGAAGTTGCCGCAGCATCCATCAGGTCCGAGGATAGAAACACAATATATGTTGATTTTTCTCTTCCCCGCGCCGACGTCAATTTGATCGTGAGGAGAAGAACACATGAATTCAGAATGTCATTGACTGAAAAATCGGTCATTCCGAGGGTTTCGTTTGGCCCCTTAATCCTCCGCCGGTCTTTGTGGAAGACGACGGGTGCTACAAGGCAAGTACGCCGCTGTACGCGGCCTGTGAATGCACAAAAAAAAGAGCTATCTCAGTCTCTGTCAAAGTTTCCAAGTAACGCAATAAAATGGCGAGCGTTGCCGCTCGCTATAGCTTTCCTTCTACGCTCGGGCAAAACGTAGTTTCCGCAACTCAAGACGACGCGAAGCAAACTTGGTGCTCGACTAAGTACATTCTACGTCTCCGCAGAATCGAAACCCCACCTGCCGTTAATCCCAACTTTCAAGCGAATGATCTCGGCCATCCGCAGGACCTCAAGGATTTGTTCTCGTACCCTTGTGGCCAGCCCTTTCCGTAGGGCTTTCGACGTTTAGGAAATAGCAATTCTCACGCTTCTCAACCTATCCATCGCAATCCGAGGTCTTCTTTCGCGTCTCGTTCAGTCTCCAGCGGCAAAATATTACTTCATGTCCTCTTTCTTGGAACCCTCACCTTCCAGAGCGAATTTCTGTCGCCCACGAAAGTGGACGGGACGATTGTCTTGATCTGCGAAGACCTCAGGCTGCTCTTGTAGTGTTGTTCTGAAAATTTCGGCGACCGTGCGCAGCACCCCGGCCCCGGCCCCGACCCCCAGGGATGCCGCCGTCACCTGCATTGTTGAGGCTGTTGATATTGGGGCGGAGGAACGGGGTCAGCCTGTGGTTGAGGATACTGAAGCTGCACAGGA